AATGCAGCTCCGCGTCGTTAACTTCAATTGATTTTATTGCCAATAAAATCAATGTTTAGGCTCGCTGAAAAGGGTTTTGCGACGATAAAAAAAAGAGGGGGGCCAGAGAAGGGAGGGGGGAGGGGGTGCGAGGCACAAAGCTGTCGATCACGGCGCGACGCGTGGATTATTCGCTTTCCTGTCGGTAGACATTGCGCAATTGAAATCTACGTCGGTGGTCACACGCGGGCACAATCGTTTGCGACGGGAAAAGGGTCGGGATCCGACGGAGGTAAACCGAGAGTGGGTTTCGAACGTGCCCGAAACCTACCCGCCGATTTCGAGCGTCCGGCCAACCCGTGCGTACCCCCAATCCCTTTATGGACACTTCGAATTAATCGTGTCGCGAGTTTACTTTTGCTTTCAAATTCAATCTTACGTTCCGCTGCTCGCTGTGCGGCGGGCTCGTCGAGTTAACGAGAAATCCCGTATTCGCGTTTTCAAATCGTGCGTTGCGATTTTAATCACAATCAGGCATCGTGTGCCATTTAGCATACGGAAACTCGGTTTTATCTTTACGGAAATTTTACTCGAGATTTACTTGATGCGGAAAATTGGGACGAAAAATTGAGAAGTTACTGCAGCGGATGATATTTCGTTGAAAAATCAATTTCGAATATTATAAAATACGGCTTCTCTCCTCTCTCTCTCTCTCTCTCTCTCTCTCTCTCTCTCTCTCTCTTGGATTTCTCTCGCTGTGCCAAGCGTTATCTCGAGGAGGGTCACGGATCTCGCCGGAAATTTCGGTAGTTTATACGGTAAGATAGGCGATCTTCAGCAGCTACGAACGCGTTTCTTGCACGACGGGAGAGCATCTGACACAGAGATTAAGCCAAGCGCTCGCGAAATTGTCTCGCAACGATATGCAAATCGCGCGGCATAAATGCTAATTGTAATTGCCCATGAAATGAATTCAAGGGCTCCCTCCTGGCGGAGGGTTCGCTTCGTAGCTTAGTACCGACCTTTGCCCTCCGTGTCCGCCGAGTATCGAGCGACAAAGTTACGTGTGTTATTTTTTAAACTTCACATCGAATTGATTTGAAACCGACTAACATAACAATGTTATTCATTCGTTCCATAATGAACAAAGTAAACTTGCACAAAAGCGAGGCATTTCCTCTCTTTTCTCAGCGCAAAAAAAAAATAATCCCGCCAAAAAGTTATCTGGAAACATTATTCACGCACGAATCTCATTAGCCACTTTTTATTCACCCCGCATTCTGTGAACATGAACATCCCGAAAGGGCCAATTGTCAAAGAGAAAGCTAAAACAGTCGTCAATCGGAGGGGGATTCGGTTTTACGGTAAACGAAACGAAATGATATGATTAGGACATTAATTCGTTTCCCGGTACATACAGCTAACGAGAATAGGACGCAGTGAGTCAGACAGTTTCGGACAAAATCCAATAACACTTTTAACAGAGCACTCAGATGATTTCTTCTGATAAAAAAACCGCGTATATAGTGAAGTCGCGAAGGCTTTGATGTCAATTCAATCGTCCCGATATTGCAAGGCACATCCCGCGCTGTACCGCGATAAACTTTCCATCTTGCCACGACGAAGCGTGAATTTAGCTTGCGAAATTGCGCGGGGATTAAGATCTCGCCTCGAGATCTGAGCACGTACTTATCGTCGGACGAGCCGGAATTATGCCGGTGACAGTTTGTAAATGATCTAGTTTACGACGCGAGAAAGTGGGGGATATGGTGTGGCGTATCCGAAAGTTGGGCGGAAAGGGAAACGGTGATAGGAAGGGAAGGAGACAGAGAGAGAAAGAGAGAGAGAAAGGGATGGGGAGAGAGAACAAAGAATTGAGGATGAGAGAGAGAGTGGAGGGTCAGGACAAAAGGATCTTGTTAACTATTCATCTTCATAGAGATCAGATTTTCGAGTCGTTTGCATACGTGAAATACGGAAACTGGTGGGAGATCGGGTATTGTCGAGTGTGCTTAATCGTGAAATACGCAAACTGGTGGAGATCGGGTATGCTTAATCGTTATAAACGTGTATTTATTGTATTTAGCTGGACAATGAAGTCAGACTCCCCTCGGGAGAGTCACATCTGTGTGCGTACAGGATTGGCAATCCCGAGGTACTCAAGGCCTGAGAGTATAATTAGGCCACTCTGATCTGCTCTAAATACAAAAGAGACCATACATATTAGGCTTATTTATATCGCACATATAAATCGAATAAATCTAAAAGAATAAATATTATGAAATTACCATTAAAGATCCAGCTAGCGTGCAGCTAGCAATCCTATTTCTTTTATTCAAATGAATAAAAGAAATAGGATTGAGTCAGGCAATGCAACATCGAAAAGTCTGCGGCTCTAACTCATTGTCAGTATTCTGCACACGCGTATAAATTTCCGCTAACAAATATATATATACGTCGGCAGCTTTTGAACAGCGTTTGATGAACATCAGACCCGCCTTCTCCCGCTCGGACGACGGACAAACCGACGGACGGATTGACATTTGCATACGATGGACCCGCACGGGCGTTAACTGCTCGGGGACGCGGAATGAGCTACAAGTCACCTGGTACCAGTAATTGAAATGAGGGTAACTTTGAAGAGGGGTCGCACGAACAAACGAGGAGTCCAAAAGTTCTTTCACGCGACATATCGTATACTGGCGTGATAGTCAACGTAATTAAAATTATGGTAGATTCTTTAGAAAAAAAGATTTAATTAATATCAATCGAACAATGGAAAGAAGGCAGAATACGTGAGTGCTCCAGAATTGCCATTATCATTACTGAATTGAATAATAGTGGACCACTCACAGTGTAATAACTGATTGTATCCACATTTCTTTTGAAACGCGATTAAAATGTAATAATTTTGAAACGGTTAAAAATTTATAATCTTATTTAGGGAAAGGACTTTTCGCTTTTAGTTCACCGTAAATCGTTAGCGATGCATGTGCCGTGTATTTGATTTAACTCAACGTAAAGTGCGTGCTCCAGAGAAGGACGAGAAAAAAAATTTGTCGGGAGGGTTGGTTGTGAAACACGGTTAATAAGTAGAACGGCGCTGGAAAATGCGGTAGCCGAGCAGGCACACAAGGCCTGAAATGCCCCCTCGAAACTTTACGGACTATGAAAGCGGAATGAGAACGGGCGGGCGATACTGGCGGGTGGTTCGGCGGAGTAGGGATGGGAAGTTTAATTAAATATCACACGACATATTATGGGAGGCAGGACGCCGCGCGTGGTGTCGATGGCAAGTAACGGCGGGGACAGCCCGCGAGACCGAAAAGTTCGTGCCAACGAGCGAACGAGCCGAGTTTGCAGCAACGGCGGGTAACGGCGGGGACGCTACCGCCGGAAGTTAACGGAGGGCGGCGAACCGTCCAGACATTTCAGCGTCATCGGTACCCCTTTTATAAAGCGGCCAGTCTGAAAATTCCATTCCGGCCCACCCTCGCGCGCGCGCGCGCGAGCTTCCCTTACATTCATCCCCATCGACGCGACTGCTGATTCAATTCTCGCGAAAGGAAAGCGGCATTCCTCGAATGGCGAGGACGACAATTTACTTTTAATCTCATAATGTCCCCGTCGAGCTGCGGAGATTTCATCGCGAGACGGCGTAAGAAGCGTTATACATCAAATATTCAGTAAGTACGAAACGCAAAGATAACACAAAAGAAGCTTATAAGTAGATTGCGCGTTCTCGTTTGATAATTATACACGGTAATGAAACGGCACGTGTAATACATTTAGTAATATTGTCGTGTCGCTGGGGAAGAAACAACGTTGAGAGCACGGACCGAGAGGTCACATGTCGTCCCCTGTCCTACCGAAGGATGCAAATCTTTGCACAGGCCTCGCGTTGATCCTTGCCACACTCACAATGACTTGCGAATTAAAAGCCCATGAATATGGTAAGGATGCAAATTCCGCCGGTATTCCACCGGTGTTTACTCGGGATCAGTGTTACATGGCAATCTGCATACTCGAGTGTCGGGACGGCCGGTGACGCGCGACGAGGGTTGCGAATCAGGTTCCGTATCGTATCGTGTACGTGGGACAATCGTGCTGGGTTAATCGCAACCCACAGCATTCCTTCGCGAGGATACCGCGCGGTAGGAATTTAATCCGTTAAACTCTCTCGGAGCTGGGCGTCCCGAAACTTTCCGCGCTGCTCAAGATCACGTGAAGATACAAGAGTGTTTCTGATCTCCGTATATATAACGGAGAATCTCCCCGCCCCGGCAGTTTTGCAATCTCACCGAATCAGCGATGAGTATCATCCACCGCGGAAAAGAGACGATCCCCTATTTCGTCCGACCCCGTCGATTAATCCGTTAGCCGCTCGCGACCAACCTGTGCGTACCGTTCAATTATCGGAGGGGGCTCTTCTCCCTCTCTTACCCGAGAGCTAACTGAGTTGTTACCTCGATAATTCGTACGTCGTAGTATCGGCCGTAACCGGCGGCTTGCCACATTAATTTGCGGCCTGGCATGAGAATTTCCGCTTAACTGCGTTATCCCGGAAACTTATCGTGCGCCGTCAGTGATCAATCAGTGTGGAATCCGAACATTTCGCCGATATTCAACGCCACGACAGTCTCATGCTTCGAATACCACAATTAATTTTATCGTTATTATTTTATTACTATATATATATTTAATATTGCATTTAATTATACAATTAAAAATATTTAATATTACATAATCACATAATAATAGAATTAAAAGTTTAATAGTCATTAATATTATTGTCAATTATTGAAATAAAATCGAAAAAAACATTTTTAATATTTTAAATTTTGTATTGAAATATAGTAGGAAACCCCTCGTTATATTCTTACATCTTCGTTTCTCGAAATAGAGGAATGCTATTTACATGTCCATCTAACATGCTACAACTATGTATTATGAATATATTCAGTTGAAATAAAATCCTTGCATTATCTGGGACACAATGTCGGCTTAAAGAAAAGACCTACCTGTGTATGGTCGACAGTAGTTGCGATTTGCTCTGCTATAAATCGTCGGCAAGGACGACTCCGTTCCCGGCTCCACGTACGCTTTGCTCTTGCTGTCTCTAGGGTCGCTGTATTGTTCCACAACCTCGATTTCCGCCTGCAAACAGAATACAAATTATTTCCTTCCGTTTCTCACGCAAAAGAGGTATATATGTACATCTTCTGAAATAATAACGATCGATCTAATGTCTCCATTAGAGACAGTACTCGCGTCCTCGATATGCGGGTGATAGTGACGCGAGAAATAGACGATGTACAAAACGAGTAATTGGTCTAGATTGCTGTAACAATACTAATTTGAGCTACGTGCGTTCTCGCGTGCACAGTAATGCTCGACTTTGTCCCAGGAGAGAATATCTTTGCGAAGGATTATCGTCAGAGGTAGCTTCGCTTGAATTTACGCGGCAGCACGGTGCCATTTTCCGGTCCTGAATGCAGCCAATTGCGGTAATGCCCTGGGCCGGGGCTCGCCGGGGACACGCGCGCGCTTCCAGCCGTCCCCTAAATGATGATCGTTATTTCGAGAGAAAACAACTGCGGCGACAATTCGTTTCCGCTGGCACGTGTGTCTCCGGCGTATTAAACGTAGCGCCCAAATAATCAGTCGGATGACGACGAGCATTAATATCCCGTTAGTACAAAGATTAAGCCTTGACGGCATAATACTTCTTAGCGCGACGATAATATAACGCAAATTGCACGTCACGGTTTTTGTTTGAACGATTTCAACTCGGGGAAACGAACGGGAAGAAATAAATTCCTCTCGACTGAGTTCAATCGACCACGAGCGAGGAAGGGTTCCTCCGTATTTCCCGCGGAAGCCGTTTAGTAGTCCCACCGCGATTACGCGATCGGTGCTTCGCCGATATTAATGACAGTAATGATAATAAAAGTAACGACAATTTTCTCCGGATACAGTAAACGACGAAGAGTGCAGATCTTGTGCGCTGGATAAAGAGAAGAAGAACGAGCAAAGAACGCTTTTCTTTTTTTCTCACTCTCTCGCTCTTTCGACCTTAATATTGTATCGACTAAGGGAAGCGAAGTAAAAGAAGAAATAAGACGGTGCATGAGGAAGCTTAACAGGGCGAGGCGAACAGACATCCCGGCAATGCAAGACGAACGAGAAGGCGACGGCGCGGCGGGGAAGACAAGTAGCCTTAAATTGAAAGAGGCCAAAATTGGAATTCTCCTGCCAAAGTTGAGCGCTATGCCTCCGGGGGCTGTTTCGAAGACGAAGTCGATTGCTTCCAGCCACCTCACCTTCCAGCCCGTGTTCCCCTCTCCCGTCGCGCGAGCCCTCCTCCTCGTGGAACGGTTAAATTTGTGGATGTTTATACGGAAATTACGGGGGACGATTCCGCAAGCACGGTGGAGGCCGCTCGATCGGCTGTCGCAAATCCGATGACGAACGGGCTGACTCGACTCTCTCCGCGGAGCGCGAACGCGTTCGCCAAATCCCCGCGCCGGTGGTTGCGAAAACGATTACGCGCGGGGTTATCGGCGTGCAACGCCGACAAGAAATCGAATTGCCGTTCGATTCGGCGAGTGAAAACGTGCGGATTTGGCAAACGTCTCGTTAAGCGGGTAAAGTAAATCTGCAGCAAAGCTGTCGCGAGCGCGGCATTGGCGGCGGAAAAGCTATGGCAAATAATAAACGCGCGGAGCGTGTTCCAAGTTGCTCGCCCGGATTTCCCTCCGTGTGTGAACTGTTTGGCCACTTTGAGGATTGTGTCGAACGCCATGCCATCGAGTGCAATGCAAATAGCACGCATCACACCCTATCATATTCACTCGTTAATACCTTTTGATTTATCGAGGGCTCTAATCCGATTACTTGGTCACTGCGTTATAATTTGGCGTAATTATCACGCTAATCTAATCGCCCGATATTTCACTATATTTATGAGCCTAGATGGCAAAACGAGAATTTTTCATTATTGTATTATATTCCATTAATAATGAATGCATTTTAGAGCAAAATGCCTGCAGGATTATCATGGAACAAATCAATATATAATTCTATATAGAATTTAATGCAATTAAATAAATACAAAAAACGAAACTCGCCGAACTCCGTTCTAATAACTTGCCGAAAAATTTTGCCGAAACATAAATATTAATGTCGCAGCGTCGTAAAGAGTCGAGTTATATTAATGGCAAACAGCGATACAGTTCATAACATAAATAACGCCGTTACACAGAACGGCACTCTCGAGGAAACGTCACGTCAGCGACGTCGATCGCTCTTAATTTTCGTGTGTGGTGCGGCGAGCCAGTATTTCCACAGTATTCGCGATAATACAAGACATCATTAACAAGTATGCAGATAATGGCGTTACAGGAGTGACGCCGGGGACGGCAAGAAAAATGAGCGATGTAAGATAAGACGCACGTAAAAGCGCTTTTTAGCGGCAAGAGTATCAATCACTTCTCGCTCTCGGACGAGGAACATCGCACAAAGGGCTTGACATTCAAGCACTTTCCTCACGGAGTCAATTTTTTCCGGAATTCTCGCAAAAGGACGCGTCCCTCCCCGAACTATATAGTCGGAAATTAATTACGCCCACTTTTCGACGTAATTTTCCTCGCCGTGAGTTAATCGCTTCCGTGAATTTTCGACCAAAATGGCGGTACAAATGGCGACGATTCCCCCACTGGCATTTCGTCGATATATACGCTCGGCGTTTATCGAGCTCAAACAAGTTGGACGTCCCTTATGATTGAAACGCAAACGGAAAGAATTGCGAATCGAGGTTTCGCGAATTGGCAAACAATAGGTATACCAAAAATCATACAACTGCAAACTCTCGAAAGACACGTGTCTGCTAAAGTTTCTACGCCCCGGAGCCCCTTTGTTATAGTGATAAATGCGAGCAACACCACCAGTGCTCGATCTCACGCATAAAATAAAGCGCTAAAGTATTAAGTAGGGCTTACGAGCACGACTCATAACGATTCACCCTCTCGAGTCAAGTGGCACCCGCTCTCCGTCTTTGTCACACTCCCCCTTCGCTCCGTTGCGAACGCTCGCGGGGGTTGTCGGTGACAACGAAGCGAAGGAAACTTTTGTTCGGCGCACTCAGGTGCCGTTCCTTCTCTCGTACGGCGCGTTTCTTTCTCTTTCTTTTATAAACTCCCTCGCGACGGTCGCGCAATTCCACGTTTCCGTTTTATTTGTATTTGTATAGTAATCAGACGCCGAGCTATCGACGATAACGAATTAAATTCCTTCGAATTAACATATCAAACATGGTGATGAATAAAAAAGTGATAATGCGCGTGATAAAGTATAATATTAAAAAAAAACGCTTAACTAGAAAACGGAAATTTATAAATATTTTGCAAGACCTACAGACATTTATAAAAACTTTGATTTAAAAAAATCCAAAAGTTATCTTTACTGAAAAGATTGTCAAACCAATTCGTAGATGATTCGTGAATATCAGTTGTAATATTAAATAATATTAAGTAATCGAGAAAAATAATTGCACAATTGCTGAAAATATTTACTTTCACCGGTTACATTGCTCCGTTTCTTCGTGAGAAAATCACAAAGCGTGATATTTCGAGCGTGCTCTCGAGATAACTGCAGAACCACTGCAGAACGCGCGAAGGTGAAGCGGTCTTCTCACCGCCAAAGCGGTCTTCGCCAAAGCGTTTTAGACGCGGAGCTCGAGGCAACCCCGGGCACCAGAAACTGAGTGGCGGAGCAATTATAAGCAACGCCGGAAGTCACCGTTCTCTCACCCGCCCTGTGTCGGGTGTGCTCCTCGTCGTTCCTTTCGTTGTTACCATCTCTCGCACCCTCCAACACCCTTCATCCAGTGCCCCCGCGATGCCCTCCGCGCCCGGGGGGTATTTTGTCACCACTGTAATTATATTTCTCCCTTCGGCCGATTCCCCGCGCCGTCGGCGTTGCGAAAATATCAATACTATCGTTAGCCGGCAAAAACGAGTCGGGCCACAGTCGCAGGAAGTGACGTCATGCGCGCAGTGTGTGCAGAGGACGAGGGACGTATGTGTGCGTAGGATGTTTATTGTAAAGCCTTTCGCTGACTCTACACGCAACGTAGACACTTTATTCTCGCAACGTTTCACGAGTTTTTGGTATCAACTAATAATGAATTTAATTTCAAGGTATTTATTTTCATGATAAAGACAGAATTTGATGTAATATTACTATGACTAATACTATGATAATACTACATGACATGTTTCATATGCGGGTTACACAAAAGTTCGGGTTTTGCGTGTGTTTTCCTGGGGAAAAATTGTAGCCCTCCCCTTCCCCCTCCCCCCCCTTCTCCCTGACCTTTTTTGATTCACTGCACGTTGCGGGAGGAAAATATCGATAAACTTTTCGGACTGGGAGTTCACGTGTCCCACAATGGGGACGCGTGAACGTGTAACGGTAGAGCGTGTTTGCTTAACGCAGAATTCATTGAACTGTGAATACAGATAAAGGCGCGACTGCGGTGAATAAAGTTCCATCGTTACCGCAATAGTGTCGCACTGCGTAAAAACATAATTCTAAAGTTATGTATTGTCGCCGCGTCCGATCTCCCCTTAATTAAATTTTTCATGCAAAGTGCAGTACTGGGTATATATAGTATGTATATATGCCATTGTTCCATAATTGAATCACATAACGTATCATGATAGCATAATAAAAGAGAGATTTATATGTCATTAAATTTAAATACATTAAATACGAAAGGTTTGAAGTAAATCGCCCATTCACCGAAGTATTTCAAGTACGCTTAAAAAATAAGCGCGCGATTTCAGTTTTAGTTCTTCAATAAAATGTTAAATCACTTACATTCTCCACAGTAGGACTCGGCAGGATCCATTGCACCGTGGAAGTTGCAGCTGCAGCGCTCGCGGGACGTCTCTTGTTCACGAAGTCGACGGGTAGACTGTAATCGTCGCACAGCGATACCTGCAAGCACAAGCGGTAGGAAATGATATACATCGTGCCCGCTATTACCATTTCCCATTAACCACTCCATCCAATGAGAAATTTTCTCTCGAACTTTCATCGCTCTTCGTGTCCCCTACCCCTTAATAGAGTTTCAAAGTTGTAAGGGATGACTTTCATCAAATGACGCGAACTCCGATAACTGAAAAACTTCGCCCACGCTCTTTAAATCTGCATCACAGGCTCCCGCGCGAGAGATGATTTTTTTTATCTTTCATTAGTCGCCTAAAGAGTATTAATCTTTATGTAATTGATTATGTATTGATATTTATCGCATAATAATTTATATGTACTTTATTATGGCACATTATAATGTTAAATTGTTATATTTTTGCAATTCTCGGTTTCCCCTCCAAAGAATATAGAATCAATTGATTCTCATTTAAATCCTTGGAGCGACTAAAGCAAGTCAGTCGTTGCCCTCGCTAGTTAGCCTCGACGCTATCGAAGCACGCGCCTCTGCCGTATGGGGAGAGAAAATACGTAAAATTTTGCTTGTTGTTGAAAAAGTGAAGAACGACCGGCGGGATGAAAATCCGCGGGGAAGTATCCGACGTCGAACGACCGAGGATTTCTGCCACTCGACAAATCGCAGGGTAAGCCCCCCCGTCCCTCAAGCCTCCTCCGCATCCTGAAATCCCCGTCGACGCTGACTGGACCAGCTCATCAGCGATATTTACTGTCTGTCGGAGAATCGATCTATCGATGCGTGAACGCATCCTCGTCCCATCCGGCGGGCGCCGAGAACCGAGAGTGCGCGGCCACGGGCCTACGTCTATGCGTGCATATAAATCGAGACAATCGCGGATCCCTGGGGGCGGCTTATCGCGTCGGAGACCCGGAAGGGGTGGCGAGCGCAGAGTCCACGGGGATGCTCGGCCTGGCGAAGGGAGTTTTGCACCCGCGCGGGGACTCTGCATGCAAATGGTCCGCGTTTATTGTGAGAAGAGCGCGTCGTATGAATATGTGAAGTGGGAAACGAAACAAAAAGAGAGAGAGAGAGAGAGAGAGAGAGAGAGATATGAACGATCGAAGGGAATGGAACGAGGAACGAATGGTTCGCGGAAAAGCGGAAATAGCCACGGAGGTATCGAGAAATGACGCAACTAGCACTTAGCGCGGCGGTAGGACGCAGCGTGGGGTAGAAAAATCGATTCGCCGAGAGCCTGTACCGGATTGTGCAAGCTAAAGCGCCGGTAAGTTACTTTACGCGCTTTCTGACTGCGCAAAATTATACAGACTGCGCGCGCGTAACTTCCCTGAAAATTCTTCGTGCTGCAAAACTTCTTAACTTAATTTTCAACGTTAGTCGCGGACAACAGTGGTGCTGGAGCGCGGTGTGGTCAGACAACAACGCGATCGCCACCGGCAGGCAACCTGAAGCGATAGTATTGTATGTATTCGCAAAACGGACTATCCACTCGTTTGCCGTTGTTAAGTCGTGTAATTGAAGCTAAGCTAAGGTGTAGTTTTACGTACTTCACCGGCTTCAGGGCGAGCACCTATCCCCAGCTGCGATCTCTTCTGGCACCGTTGAGGAAGCCAAGTGCGAACTAGGCCGGGCCGATAGGGTGAATTCGAGGAAATCCGAGAGAACCGCTAGTGTGAGAGAATCCGCGTAACTGAGGATCACGTTTCGCGTTGTTTAAACATTGTCCTTTCATCGATAACATAACGCTCGTCCGAGTGCCTCTATACATCATACGATTTAATCTCGACATTTTAGCGAGCAGCACGAATGTTGACTTTACAGCGAAAAGAACTTTTTAACTCCGTGTGTAATTTTTATTCGGGCTTATGGGTTATTCATGAGATATTAAAATATGACGCGTGGCTCGTACGTACCTAGCCGATGCGGCCATAAATCACGGCGCGCGTAATCCTTAAAGTTTACCGAAATAGATATTTTCGCCGGCGTGATCCCCGGGTGTCTCCCAAAATGATTTGTTTTCCCGTAAATCTTCGACGCCGCGTGAGTTTTCCGTGAGCGCTTGCTATTGAGTGAGGTCGAAAAGCTCTCAACCGCGGACTGACATTTATAAAGTGCCTATTTACGTTCTGTTTGCCGTGCTTCTGAAGAAACGCTGCACGTAAGGGCGCTATCATTGTACGAAAGCGTGCGCAGGCTCGCGCGTTCTCTCGCAGCGGTATTTCGCGTGGCCGAGATTAAGCCGGAATATTTAGCAAATGTTTCGCATAAATCAAAGCAGCGCAATATGTTCGGAGTTCGAAGCGAGGCTATGTAAATTCATGGTAATACCGCTGGCCACCCTGCAGAGAGGGAGAGAGGGAGTTTCGATTCGCGAGGAGCCCGAGAGGGGGTAAAGAGCGCATTGGGGAACAGGGCGAAAAGGGGGAATCGAGCGCGACAGCGTGAGTTGGAGGGCAGGAAGGAGCAGGGAAAGTCCAAGAGGAGAGATAGAGAGAAAGTGAAAGATGAGGAGAGAAAGGAAAGAGAGAGAGAGAGAGAGCGATGAGCGCGTATTTCATGAACCCCTAAAGCAGCCCTGAGCATTGCGGCGACCGCCACAATCCCATTCATTCTCTTTATGGGCTCCCAAGTATTCGGGAGCGAGCTTGAATAAATCGGAAATTTGCCCCGCGGGGAGCGAGTCGGCCCTCCTCGCGATTTGCCTTTCGGCCTGGTCATTCCCGAACGCTGCGTTTCGTTTTTTCGCACGCAAAGCGCGTGATACACGATCGTTAATCCTCAGCCATTTAGTATAGAAAATTGCAGTTTAGATTATCTGAACTGATAACAAGAATATTGACGCGATTATAAAAAGTGAGAACTAATCGGCACACAGCTGCTTAAGTCTTTCATTAAGAACAATAATTTGTAAGCTTCTCATAAGTGATATAACTTAGCGGAATAATCTGCTCAATATTCTCGCACAATAGGCGAATGCCTCTCGCTCGGTAATGACGTCCGGGAGAACTATGGTAATAGGAAGTGATATTAGCCATTGTGCTCGCAAACTCGAACTATGAACGGAATGTTTATTCCACGGAAGTTCTTATGTAAGTTCATCGCATATACATCTACGCCAAACTGATGTAACTCGTATAATTGCCCAACTAATCATATTAATTCACTTTATTAAATGCTTCGCATCCTTTGCGGACGGAGAGAATTTCATTGTGCGGTTACATTAATTTTATTTAAAAAACAATATTCTACGAAAGATGTAGCTTTTGCAAGGCAATACATTTTTTTTATTTCAGCTTTTAGAACTTCGCATTTATAAAATTTAATAAAAACATGAAAACGTCTGCGTAAAATTATTTAAAATTATTCAAATAGTATACGAGTAATATTAATAAAATAATGTAATCTTTGATTTTAATTGTCGAATATGGCACAAAGATTTAATCACTGAAATCATTCATTGTACAATCTAATTGTATGACTCCTTAAAATGAAATTACATATCTGCGTAGAATGAAAATCTTAATTTTAGCACATCAAGAAGTTTGCTTAATTAACAAACGAAAAGAAGATCTAACTAACTGAAAACTTGTACGCTGCGCACAACACAAACTTTCCGCAGCAGCTCGGAAAATATTAACTTTAACAATTAGCATTTGCGACACAATGCGCACTGTATTGGAAGAACCGTTAAATCGTAGCACGTAGTGTAACGGGTAAATTGTACACAAACAGATCGATCACGATGACATAATTAAATCTAAACTGGGAAGGGTTACGACTTGAATAGCTAAGGGTCGCGGTGTTGATACCTCTGCAGAATCCCTAAATGCTTGTCATCAAACTGTACGCGTAACATTTCCAGAATAAATTTGCATTGCGGTTAAGCAAACGCTCACATTGTTTCCTTTCATCGAACGTTCGCTGAATCGAGAAAAAAAAAGGACAGTGGCACATACACAATCGTGAATCGCCTGTTCGTGCTGTCAATGCTCGTCTTAATCACCGCCCCTCAACTTAACTCTCTTATCGCAGCCGTCTCCTTCGGCGTGTCTTCGCGAAGTACAGAGTAGGCCGCCACTTTCTTCGCCGACCTAGACAATGAGTCAGACCGTAAAGAACGCCATAAAGGGAGCTAAAGATCGATGAACAGGGTTAACTATGATTGACGACGAGCGAAAGTGCGCGGCGGAGTCTTCGGGGACTCCGCTCTTCTCATTTTCCACGTTACGGCAATCTGATTCGATCTAACGCCACGAGATAAACACGTTAAAGTTTCACGAACTGTTCTGAACGATGGAACGCGCGAGCAAAGTCACCCGGGGCTATCCAACGTCCTTTCCGACAGCGACGACGCGACAACCCGACATCTTCATCACGTATTTCCCAGATGTACTCATCGCTCTTCTTTTGGATATCATTTCTTCTGGGCTACGTTCGTTACGTTTGCCATCCCCCCCCCCCTCCCACCGGCACCCAAGGGCAACTTGACGATGACGAGAAAAAAGATCTATCTTCGCAAGGGCGATGAAGCGCGAACGAACGAAAATTTGACATAGCGTGGGTGGATGGTGCGAATCGAGCACGGTGGGAAAAAATGTGTATAAAGAACTCCGGCAACCTTGAAATTTATCATCGTGATCTTTTCCTACCAAGAAAAGATCTTTTCTTTGTGACGAGAGATTTTTTTGAACAGTAGAAATGTAGGTTTGCATTACGATTGATGATCGCGGAGAAGATCTTGAGCCGTACTGAGTCAGGATAAATATATCTTCGTAGAGAACTCTCAAATTTCGACGACATTTAATGCCAATGCAGTATCATTCGAGACATTGTCGTTTGAAGGAACAAAGACCTGAGGATACCTATGATTTCGCAATTTAAGGGTCACAACCACAGCATCTGGGAGTCCTTTCGTCTCCATTTAAGGGACCCGCACTGTCCCTCGACCGATCCGATGTGCTTTAGACGCCTCGGATCGAACAGAAACGCCTATCGAAGGGCTACGTTCCTTTTTGTCGTATCTGCAGCC